TCGGGTTAGAAATATATTTTTGCATGCATTTCTTTTTATAGTATATTTTCCCTCTGAAAAAGTCCTGATGGAAAGGCCTGCTTTGATGTAATTGCACAGTTCTTTGAGCTAAAACTTTAACATTGTTAATTTTCATACAGCTTCTATAAAGCAGTATGTAGGTTAGAACTTGTGTGGGTAGTTGGAAAGCTCAAAATTAAGATTTTTGCCTTTTTAAATAACTTTTTTATTCAAATGTATTGCAAATTCAGGGATTTAGGCCACGAAAAAAATAGTGTTGACTAGATCTGAGAGCTTAAAGTTATCTGAAAATTATAATTGAGTTATCACTCTTATTTTAAAATAAACGTGGCCAATCAAAATACACTTGCACCACGGTATACAACCAATTTATCGCTACCGGGCAGATTACACATGAATCCATGTTGAAAAGTTAAAATTGTAACGGGAAGTGACTACAACTGACAACAAACCAGGTCTAAAAGAGAAAAATCACTATCATCGAAATTACTATATATAATTGGATAAATTAGAGCTTGAATGGTATGAATTTTATTCATAAATCTTATCTCTGATTCAACTGAATTAATGGTTAATCTTCTCATAATTCGCATCATACTGAGTAAATAATCCAGAAAAGACTTGGAAACAATTATTAAGTTCCCCTTTTACCCATATGTTTATTGTTGGATGTTGGAGTAAAAAAAAGAATGTACTCACCCTTAGCACACCATCCAAAAATGACAAAAAGCACTATAAAAGTATAACAGTTCGACTTGTGAGACTATATTATTAGTTGAAATTATATAAGGTAATGCATTACAACTACAAGTAGTGTTGGTGAGTAACTAGTTACATGTAATGGAATTACGTAATTTAATGACCAAAAAAATGTAACTAATCTGTTACAGTAACTGAGAAAAAATGTGTAATTAAATTAGAGTTACTTATGAAAATGTTAGAGATTACAAAGTGGGTTACATCTGATTGATTTCTTTCCCAAATTGCATTGAGTGCTTTAAAATATGAGACGCCAATGTTTCAGGAGATTAGGATACAGAATAGGACACTTATTCAATAACTGTTTTATTTCCTATTTGGGTTTGCCTATGTTTTATTTTTTTTAAGATTAGCTGTTTTTTTTCAAAGCGTTAGATGCCAGTGTTTCCTGTCATAGCTATGCAGATATTTGATTTCAAAATCAGTTACAGTATCATAACTATTAAACTATATCTTATGATTTTAAATCTGTATTTAACCTCTCAAACGATCTCAAAGTAAAAATATGTGCTAAAGTCTGATTTTGTGGTGGCTGTGCTTTCAAATTAAATTATTTTATATTATGGGGCCATTGACTGCTTGAATCTGATTGGCTGACGAACGTTCTTAAAGGGGTCTTCGGATGCAAAATTCACTTTTGTTGTTGTTTGAACATAAATGTGTGGAAGACAAGAATGTCTCCGATTAAGCGATTGAGGTGTTTTGTTGTTGGATGTAATAATGAATATAGCAGTCGTCATTTACTCGACATTTACACGCTTGAGGTATTCGGCCAATCACAACGCACTGGATAGCTGGCCAATCAGAGCACACCTCGCTTTTCAGAACATGAGCTTTGTAAAAATTGACGCGTTTCAGAAAAGGCGGGGAGTAGAGGAGAAACAATAATGTACAGTATGTGGAAAATAATGTATTTTTTGAACCTTAAACCGCATAAACACATTTCATTACACCAAATACACAAAATAATTTTCTTTTTAACAACATCATATGACCCCTTTAACTGCATTAGTCTGCCATCATCAACGTTTTGAAATTAGCAACAGAGGCGCTGTATGAGGTGCGGAAGAAATTAATCCTACACACAAGAGCGTTTTAAGTACAAAAACCAGACGAATGCCTTGAAATACAACATCTGATCGATGTCTTGAGGTGTGGTGGTAACCCTAGTATAAGCGGAATAATTGACTCCGCTCCGTGGAATTATTAGAAAATAATGCACACCTGAGGTGTAACGCATCACCACATTGGGTGTGCATTATTTTCTAATAATTCAACGGCCCATGGTCAATTATTCCTTACATAATCTTAATTCAAGTGATGAAGGATTTTGAACGTCTGACAGTAGGCTAATCAGTGCTGAGCACTACTGTAAGGTTAACCCTGCCTGCTATAAATGTTTCAAAATGATTAACAGTTGAAAACATTTGTTAGAAATTTAGAAAAGTAATCAAATGTAATCAGTTACATTATTGTAATAAAGTAACTGAAATAGTTACACTACTTATTACATTTTAAATAGGGTAACTTGTATTCTGTAACCTATTACATTTCCAAAGTGACCTTCACAACACTGATTACAAGTGTTACACATGATGTGAATCTGTAAATTTGGTGTCCTTGTCCTCACAGTGTCAGGTGGATGGCAGATTGTGAAGCAGCTGGTATGCATTGGTGGAGTTCAAGTTTGTCAAGCTAGGAGGATTTGAGATGTGAGTCACCGAATTCTGTGACCCTATAGGCGCTGTAGTGAGGGTAGGTTTAGGACTGGGTTTAGGAGTAGGTCAGATTAGCTCAATACAGCACATACTAGGGTCACATAATTCGGTGCAACACCGGCACCTAAAAGTGGTTAAGTAAGAGGGTTTAATAGGGTATGATGTCAATAAACCAAATTCAGTGTGGTTGCATAGGTTTCAGTAAACTAAAACCCCCAAGCTGAGGCTGTCAAAGCACCTTACAGTGTTTGCGTTTCCAAGGAGTTGGCATTCTGTTGCAGGGAATGTGTGTTGAAATTATTTTTACTAATTTAGACTGAACACATAACAATTTGTGTTTATTTTAGTAGGGAGGTTACTTAAGGCATCATAAGTACAGATAGACAATACAATGGTTTGGTTTGTTAGTCTTTGCATGCATGCTGAAACAGATACAATTGTAACAGTTAAAATATGTGATCGGTTTACATAATTGTAGATACTTTGTATAGAGTAGAAAAAGCATCTATGGACAAATACAGCTTTTCTTTCAGCACACTAACATAGCAGCCCTAGCCTACACAGCATAACAGTAGGTCTACCTAATGCCCTGACATACTAAATCAATCCAAACATCACTGCATAGGCTTAACTAACATCTGCCCACCAATAATAATAATAAAAAAAAACAGGCCTTCATATTTAGCCACTTCACATGTATTAGTCATAAACCATTAAATATGAAGATTGTAAAAACAAAAAGTGACATAAATGTGTAGTTAGTTCAGTTTGCATTACACACATCTATAGAGTACCATAACATTGTTCTGTCAACATATCATTAGTCATGTTAGAAATGATCAAATGTAAGTGAGAAATTGTCATTAGTGCTTATGAATTATACATGCTTATGTATCTAATGAAAAAAGTCTACATATTGTACTGACATTTAAACATTTGAAAAGAAAATGCTTATAATGCAATCAAAGAAGAATGTAGTATAACCAATATTAAATACTGTATAATTATGAATAAAACATATTTTGGAACTCCTTAAAGGGGTCATCGGATGCTACATGCACTTTTACAAGTTGTTTGAACTGAAATGTGTGTTGGCAGTGTGTGTACACAACCACCCTATAATGATAAAAATCCACCCAGTATTTTTTTTAATCTACTAACATCTTTAACCCTTTCTCAAATCGAGCCGATCTCAGATAGTTTCCCACGATAGTTGACTGACAGTAGCGTTTCAGCACAGACTGGACTGGTGTTTTACCTTAGCTCCGCCCTGAGTGAGCTGTCATCAGTCCGCCATTGTTTCACCGCGGAGCAGATGTAGACAAGAATGACTCCTAAGCGACTGTGGTGTTCTGTTGTTGGATGCAATAATGAACATAGCAGCCGTCATTTACTCCCGACATCTGAGCCGCTGAAGACGCAGTGGATTACGTTTGTTTTTGAAGGGAATGCGCCCCCCGATCTACCTAAATGCGTTTATGTTCACGCGAATCATTCGTGATCCAGCTTCACCTACAGAAGAAGTGAGTATAAGGTTTTTTAATGAATCTTTGCAAATCGCCTTTCCAAATAATGTGCTAATTAGCAAGTTTCACGATGAATGCGGCTAAAGGAAACAGTCCCTCAGAGAGCAGCTCGGAAGAGAAGGGCGGGGTCAGCAGAGCTCATTAACATTTAAAGGGAAATGCTACAAAAACGGCTTGATCTGAAAAGAGCTGTTTTTGACAGGGTAAA